AAAAAAAAAGAAAAAAAAAATGTATATTCCTTTTACTTTATCCATTTTTTTTCTCTTTTCTTTTTTTTTCGTGCTCTTTCATTCCTCTAACCCAACAACGTTAGTCGAAATTATCTCGTTGACTTATTATTACAATCTATCATTAAGTTTATAATTATACGAGAGAAACGATAAAATAAATAGTGACGGAGTTTATGAGGACGTTGTTCTATTAATAAAAAAAAAAACCGAAGACAAAAGGACGAAAGATATCAACAATATGCGTTAATAAAGTTTATTATCGTTAATTTTTGTAATTTTATACGCAATTATTATTTATCATTTGTAATGTTAAATGAACGAGACCAGAAAAAAAAGTAAGTAAGTAAGAAAAAAAAAAAAAAAGAAAACTTTAAGGAAACAGAGATACGAAAATCTAATTAATTTGAATAATTAATGTCAAATAGTAAATGTGCGTTAACGATGTATCGACTTGCATTTTTATTATTGATCGAAGGTTAAAAAATAAAAATAAAAATAATAAAGATATCATTGTAAACGATTCAAATATATCCATTAATTTTATATATCGACAATTGTGTGATAATAATAATAGGAATATTATTGTTAAAATTATTTAAATGGAAAATATTGAAAGCAATTGGTGGAACAAAGGAAAATACCACAATTGGAAGAGGAAATAGAAGAAGGAAAAAGAAAAAAAAAAACAAAAGAGAGAGAGAAACGAATGAGTTATCTTTGGGTTCACTCATCGATTCTTTTAAGGATCGTAAAAGAATACCGGAAGGGAGATTCCTTGTAAAGTAATCGTCGGGATATCGGTTCCTAAGCCATAAATTTCAACGTGACGATAGTCATTGTCTACCTTCATACGGTTAGGGTCTCGCGTATAGAAACAAAAGTTTATCTTTCGAGATCTAATAATAATATAAATATTCATTCATAAATATTTCATCGTATATAGGTAACTGTACAAAAAAGTATTAATTAATTAATTAATTAATTAACTAATTAATTATTTATTAATATAATTCTCTGGATCCCTTTCTTTCTCTCCCAATACAAAATAAGAAAATTTATTCATACTTTTCATTTGAGAAAAATTCGTTCCAAATGAAGTTAAAAACCGCGAGAGTTATTAAAAAATAAAAATATATATAATCGTAATAATAAAATAAATTAGGTCAGGATTGTTGTAAGAGTGAGGATAGTCTTTTTGATATATAAAATATTTGATTGTACGAATAGTTTATTAGAAAATGAAAAATCTTACCGTGATTCGTGTCTCGAACCGAATTGAACCGAAAGCGAACGAGAAAGCAAGCAAACTCGGTTTCACGGCTTCACGGTCTGCATATGACCGAGACTTTTACTTATTTTAAAACTAGCATACGCGTATCTGCACGTAGTATCTACTGCATAAATATTTACTACACGGTATAACACGCTTAGAAAGCTCTCACACCATTTATAAAATGTATACGATTGTCCCATTAATGAATTTCTCGATTTGGGTAAATGATGGTTTCTATATCAGAAAAAAAAACAAAACAAACAAAAATAAAACACTAGTGTTAGGTGGTTGGCAAATTTTCGTCATCGGAGAATAGAAAATAAAGAAAACTGGATCAAAATTATACAATCCACTCCATTTATCTTGTTTATCATTCGATTTAACAATTTGTATTTTTTTACGTTCAAATTCGAGACGATATTAATTATAAATATAATTATTGATAATTAAATTAATTGAATATTGATAATTAAATTAATTATAAATGTTACACAAATATTATCATATTAAATATTTGTCTTGACTAATTAAACATTTTTTTTTGTCGATTAATATAATGATCGATCGTAAATAGCAACTAATTTAAATTGTTCGCCAACAATTCGACACTCTCGCGAATATTTATATAATTAAAACATCTTAAAAATATTTTATTTAATATTTTACGAATATCATTGACCTTTCGATGGATCTTATATTCAGACGGAAAATTCCATTCCCTTTTTCTTTTTATTTTTTTTTTTTAAGAAGCACTTATATCTGCTTGATGATAAATTTTTGATTTATTAACGATCTATATTTTTTTTTTAGTGTCATGCTTGTATCAGAGTTACACAAGTTTAATAATAATTTAATTATAAATAGAATCATAATGAGATCATTGTACAATATTATCATGTATATGAATTATTACATTTGAAAATAATATCCGATGATAATAAATATTTAGACTAAACAATCCAATTAGATTATTTCACCCTTGGTGTCTTAGAAGACTATAGTTTCCGTTCACGTGATCAAAAGAGGTAAACGGAACATTTTTATGACGTAAGCTTACGAAACTCGACGAGTATGTGCGTTCCTTTCGACTTTGGCCAAATTCCAGGGCGAACTTTCATCCTGAACACGATTTGAATCTAAACGATTTAATGTATTCCTCTTCCTAAATCCACCTTCCCATATTTATTATAATCTTTCTATTTCCGGTTTTGGTGTTTCTTATGTTGAACAATAAAAAAAAAAAAAAAAAAAAAAAAAAAAAAAAAATAGAAATTAAATAATTAAATAATAATCATTGGAACAATTTGTTCATCGCGTAATTTTACGCAAAGTGTTACATCATACACGCTTATGATGCACACACATTTGACTGTATCTTTTTATATATTTTAATATACCCCGCGATTAAAAAAAATTATTATACATTAATTTTGTCCAGGTACTCGAACGATATTCGATGCAGGACGATTTAAAAGAAATATCGAAGTATTATTTCGGTGGACAAGGAAAAGCGATACGACCAATGTTCGTAATTCTTATGGGACGTGCTATAAATTATCATAAGAACGAAACGAAGTGAGTATTTTTTCTTCATTAAAATTTAACTAATATACAATTAAATCTTATGAAAAATTCTAATTATATTATTTCTTTCTTTTTTCTTTTTAACAATATATATATATCTTTGATTCAATCGTAATATTTACGTAATAAAAATATACAGAATGAATACGAGCAAGAACAATACAACTTGACTCGATACGAAAAAATAACTTTCTAAAACTTTCCAAATTTTTCTACAATCGTATTTCATGTATTTATACGCTTTAACTGTGTGTTTTTTTTTTTTTTTATATTTCTTTTTTTGTTTTTACGATAATTCGTATTGCGTGTTAAATATGTGTTAACTCATATAAATATATATATTACATTATAAAAATATATATTTGAAAACAGGGCGTAATAAAAAAATTGAAGAAAAAGGAAAAAGGAAAAGAAAAAACAACGAGTTATTTTGAATCAGATTCTTCCATGCACCCACGTATAACGGCGTGCAACATTGATATACGAATTGGTAGGAGCTATGGGGGTGTGAGTAGGGGGTGGGGGTGGGTGTGGGTGTAAAGTAGAGAGGAGGGAAGGAATTACGCGTAAGAAATCGATTATAATACTTTTTTCGCGACGATAAAAATATCGGAACACGATCGTTATGATGAAAGCAACATAACGGCGGACATCGACAAAAAAAGGGCGAACAAGGACGTAGCTTTGAATAATAAAAAGAGAACGCGCGAGATCGGTGAATGGAAAAACTGGAGTAACGCGTGTCGATAAGTTACATACGTAATGTACCATTAATATTATTACGACGGAAGTCACGTTTTATGGGTATGGGAACACGGACATGATTAGACGGATAGATCATTTGATATATGATATTGTCGGTTTAAATCTCAATTTACATTTGAGATGTCAATGACACGGATAAAAAAACCATCTGTCGGTTATTTTTTCTTTTTTTTTTTTTTTTTTTTCTCTTTTTAAATACGATTCAATTTGCCAAAATTATTTATGAAAATTATACAACAACAACAAAATACGAAAAGTGTGTTTGTGTGTGTAGAGTCACGCGTTGTAGATTATTAATTAATTCTCGATCATTATAGTCCAAGCAACGGAGGGGGGGGCGGCACGGTTGGTAATACGGATCGGTGACCCTTTCGAAAAAAAAAAAACGACAAAAACTCGTATGTTGCTGGTTAACTCCAAAGAAGGATTACAAAAAATTGACGCGACCTATTTGTTTTGATTAATTGTGAGAAGGTATGTTTTGATAGAAAAGGAAACTCGGAACATTAACCCCTAAAAGGGTTGTGAGTAAAAAGATTGAAAAAGATAAAAAAAAAAAAGAAAGAAAAATACGACATTTCTTATATTATCTCATTGTTGATTTGTTTCTTATTTAAACGTGAATTTTATCTTTTCAGCACTTTGACGAGCCTTCAACAAAGTCTTGCGATGTATGTAGAAATGATCCATAATGGTTCCTTACTTCACGATGACGTGATCGATCAAGCTGAGTATCGTCGAGGGAAACCATCAGCAAATGTTCTTTGGAATCAACAACAGGTTAAATCAATTTCCTCTCTCTCTCTCTCTCTTTTTTTGTTAATTTTTTTCTTTTTGTATTTTAAACAAACGATCTCGTAATTTATTTAATCTTCATTTCGGATCGACCTTCCGGGGACGAATTTCTCTCTCTATCTCTCTCTCTCTCTCTTTCTCTGTTAACTTTGTCTCCGAAATAGTCAAAAATGGAAAGAGGTCAATGCGATTCGTGACGAGCAAGTTAACGTTATATACCTTGAGACCGGAATTCAATTTTGTGAAAAGTACAAAAAAAAAGAAAACAAAGTATTCGTTCAATTCTTTTTTTGTTATTTTTATTTCTTTTTTTTTAAACAATTCCTATGAAACGATGTTCAAAATAAAAATTCTTTTCATTACGTATAATATCAATGAATGATTATAAATATTAAAATTGAATAATCATAAACAATATTCGAAATGATTAATTTCGTAATAATACGATTACGATAGATATCGAAGAAATTTCAACGTGTTGGAATAATTGTTACTATTTTGTTTGTGTGTGTATGTGAATACTCGTAAGTGAAATAAGAATACGATAGAGTCGGACATATGGTAACTATTAGTAGTCACTGGTTCACCAAACACATTTCCTCAATATCAATTGATCGTGTGTGTATCGATCGATATATTTATGTATGGAATGTATATATATATATATATACATATGTATATGTACTATCGTGCATCACAGATTTGCATTATTAAACTTAGGAACTTACGACATAGGCACGTGTCATCGCGTAGAAAAGCGAAACTCCACTATTGGTTTGCAGTTTCTAATTGCATAGCGAACACCAGTTGACAGTAGTAGGTAGTATACATATTCGTAGTAGGTAGGACATCTTTCCGCGCCTTCTTCGATTACGCGTCCCATTGCAAAATGCACGTGCGTGTGCATTTACTGGCGTTGAACTCACCGAGAATTGTTGCGGTCCCGAGGAAAAGTTCCTTCGTTTCAGTGGGCGCGGTTAACCGTATCTCGTATTATTATTATTATATAGATCGTTAAAATTATTTCTTTCTAGTTTTTTTTATCGTAATCTCTTTCTTCTTTTTTTTTTTTATCGTTTTATTATTTTTGAAAAGAATCGTGGAATATTCAATTATAAATCGATATTATTTAAGTTTGTGTGTTGTTATTTCTCGAATTAATTTTTTAATTTAATATTATTAATCGAATATAGAAATATAAATAATATATATATATAAAGATTAACCAAATTATATTTTTCATGTTAAAGAAAAAAAACAAACAAACGAATAATGACCAATATATATATATATACGGGAATATGATTGGATCGTGGAAAAAATAAAATTAAACCTTCAGAACGATGATTTATTATTTGAAAGAGCATAACGAGCGAAAGCGGGAAAATAATAAGAGAAATAATACGGGATAAAAGTAATGAGAAGGTATGAGAGAAATAATGACGAAAATGACAGGAAAGAAATGGAAAATAAGTAAACAAAACGGAATATAGGAGGGGTGGGGGGACACGAGAAACAAAAAAGGGGGTCGATATGCCTCCTCCTCCTCCTCTTCCTCCTCCTCTTCGAATAAATCGCGAAACGAATATACGTCTAACGAATTGCGTAACGGAGTCATATTAACGAGACGCTAATCGAGAGAGTTGTTGCTCAAGTACACGTATAATACTTATCGTTATGTTACTCCAGGGACGTCAAGGCCGCATCGGCATGTCATCCTCGATTCAAGGCACTAGTGAAAAAGAGAAAGAACAGAGAAAAGAGACAGACAGACAGACAGACTAACAGAGAAACGCGTAATTTGTAATTCTTTCTTGACACGTTGAGAAAAAGTTAGCCGTAATCCGTGCCAGAAATAAAATCACGTGATGGGGAAGGGGGGGAGAGAAACAAAAATAGCAAAAAAACGAAAGCAGGGAAACGTTTTTGGTGTTTTAAATAATTTCTCGTGATTTTTGTCGTTTCTTTTTCTACTGTTTTTTTTTTTT